AGGATTAAAGATTTAATGAGTACTAGCTGTAGCCGCCACGCTTTGCTGTGGTCAATCTTCCCTCCCTCTTTCTCTCCCTCCTTCCTTCCTTTTTCTCCCCTTTCCTTTTCTTTCCTTCTCTCCTTCTTTACCTCTTTACTTAATTCCCTTTTCTTTCTTTTCTCTCTACCGCTTTCCTTCCTTTGCTTTTATCCTTCCTTCTCTTTCTTTCTTTCCTTCTCTCCCGCTTTCTCTCCTTCTTTCCCCCCTTCCTTCACTCCCTCTTTCCTTCCTTTCTTTTTTTCTTTCTTTCTCTCCTTCCTTTCTTCTCTACCTTTTCTTTCCTTCCCCTTTTCTTTTCCTTCCACTTTCTCTCCTTTCTTCCTTCTCTATCTTTCCTTCCTTCCTTCACTCCTTGCTTCATCCTTCCTCTTTCTTCTTTCCTTCTCTCCCCTTTCTCTCCTTCTTTCCTCCTTCCTTCCTCCCTCTTTTTCCTTTCCTTTCTCTTCTTCCTTCTCTACCTCTTTCTTTCCTTCCCCCTTTTCTTTTCCTACCACTTTCTCTCCTTTCTTCCTTCTCTATCTCTTTCCTTCCTTCCTTCACTCTTTGCTTTCATCCTTCCTTCTCTCTTTCTTTCCCCCTCTCCCACTTTCTCTCCTTCTTTCCCTCCTTCCTTCACTCCCTCTTTTCTTCCTTCCTTCCTTCCTTTCCGTCTTTCCTTCTCTTCTTCCATCCTTCTCTATCTCTTTCCTTCCTTTCCCCTTTTTCCATGCTTCCTTCTCTCTTTCCTTCTTTCTTTCCCTCCCCTCTTTTTCTCTTCTTTTCTTTCTCTCCTTCCTTTCCTCCCTCTTCCTTCCCTTTTTTCCTGTATCGTCATTTAGCTCTTTTTGGGTTTTTAAGTCCTTTTCCACTGGGTGATGATCACTTGTTGATTTGTTAGGGGTATAGTGTTCAAATTTTGTGTCAATTTGTCCAGTGGTTTTTGAGTTATGTTAATCCCACAAACGAACATTACATTTTTATTTATATAGATTAGGCAAATGCTAGTCTTGATAAAGGAGTTCTGGAGATAGATTTGAAATGAGTGGCTGGAAACATTAACACTTTCTTTACATGCTGTATTTCTTTGAGTCTCCTAACCACTTTGAGTCTCCTTGTGGAGAGACAACAACTCAATTGTAAGGAGTACTTTTTCCTACATAAACATCTGAAAGAAATGGCCTCTTAGAATCGAAGGAGTATCTTATGTATTTTTGTTGGTGGTAGTGGTACTGAAATTTAGGTGCATCTTACAATTGAAAAAAAATGAATTCAAAGTTTCTCAGGACTGCTTTATATGCTTCTAAACAGGTCCAGAGGTGTGAAACACACAAACTGGGAAGGGACGCACACAGACCCTTATCCACTTTTGCACCTTCACCCTATTTGTTAACTGTACTGCTGTGGCAGGAAAAATGTAGCATGTGGAGAAAACCCACTCTATCTTTAAATTGGAAATATGATTCAACTTGAAAACAATATACATGTTCCCTGTGCACCTTATTTTAAAGGTCCTTTGCCACTTTGATTTATTATTATTATTATTATTATTATTATTATTATTAGTGGAGTGGCAGCAAATGCAAATGTCAAGCGTAGACACACTGAATTCAGGGGTGCAATTCACTCCAGAAATTAGCCATCCCGGTGTTAAACAGGCATGTGCAATAAAACTCTGATTGTTACCCAGAGTAAAGCACAATTTATAGCTTAATGTGAAGTAAAACCAAAGCCAAAAGAGCAAGCAAAATTAAAATCAATACCACTGTCATAAGGGAAGTATCTTCATTTTCACTCATCTTCCGCTTTTTCCCTGAGTCTTTTACAATCTTGACACCATTTCCTATGAAAAAAAAACAAGGAAACTGAATATGAAGAGCTGCATCACAGAGGTGGAAGGCAAGTGAATAAGGACACTGTTCATCACGGGATAATTAACACCTACATCATTTTCAGAAGTATCCAGAATAATATTAGTATTATTCATTGCACTTTATTAATGTAACTGTGGAAGGATTTAGATCCTGAATGGTGGGATACTAATAATTTATTATTATTTAAAACTTTTATAGCCCGATCTTCTCAACCTCCGTAGAGGGACTCAGACCGTAGAGGGACTCAGACTAATAATTTTAACAAGTAATAAAATAATAATACAAGTACAAAATACAAAGTAAATAAAGGGAAGGAATAAACCAATAACTGATGATAGCATATTATATACCAATTTCTGTGGTGTGAGCTTCAAAGTTCTCTGCAAAACCAAGTAAATATTCTCAATGTGAAATTTCACTGAAATTATTATTGCCAATGTTATCATTCAACCTGTGGAAAACCCTAGCCAATATGTGTGTGCAAAGGCAGGCAGTGTTTCAGAAAAAGATCAAGCAAAATTACCAACCAATCGTTATATCATATAAACTGTGTCTAATGAAATAATTGATGAATTTCAGCAAGGTATAAATCTTCATTTGTTCAGTATTCCTATCAAATACCATCTGCTACTTCCTCATTGGCCAAATAAACATTTTTAAAAAAAATGCTAGCACATTCCCTGTCCAACAGAACTGATTGGCTTATTCTCATGTGTCATGACACAATCAAGATAGATTGCGGGATAGAAATAAAGTATTATTAGTGCTAGTAGTAATAGTAGCTAGAAGTATACTAAAATAGTTGCCTAATGAAATATCAGTATAAAATGTTATTATCTTTTTTGAAAAGATATTTTTATTTTTAGTGTGTTTTATCAGGTTTTTGTATTTTATGATTTTTTTGCTATTTTGTTTATTAAATTATAGTTGGTTATTCTATATTGTCTAATGTGCCTTGTCTTGTTGTAAATTGTACGGTTTTCCTTTTGGCACTGAATGTTTGCCATATTCTTGGGAAGCCACCTTAAGTCCCTTCGGGGAGATAAAAGGTAAAGGTAAAGGTTTCCCTTGACATTAAGTCTAGTCATTTCCAACTCTGGGGTGGGGGGGGGGGGAGGAGTGCTGCTCACCTCCATTTTGAAACCAAAGAGCCACTGCTGTCTGTAGATGCCTCCTAGATGCCATTAGCTTCCCGCCAGAGTGGGACCTATTGATCTATTCAAATTTGTATGTTTTTGAAATGCTAAGTTGGTAGAAGCTGGGGCTAGCAGCAGGAGCTCACCCCACTCCCTGGATTCGAACCTTTTGGTCTGCAAGTTCAGCAGCTCAGCGGTTTAACCCACTACACCACCAGGGGTTCCTCGGGGAGATAGGGCGGTCTAATTAAAGTTTATTTATTTATATATTATAACCGGTGCTCTCAAAGACAGATCTTGGTTACTCATGAAGTGTAAGAATGCGGAATTATAGGGTATAGATCCATAGGAATGTGCTGCATCCCTCACATTCACAAGTTACATAAAAATATGAATATGGCAAGGCTCTGTCCCAAAACTCTGTAAGAAATTAAGCTGTCCGTATTCTATTAATCTGGCATAATAAAGACTAAGAAGTGAGTACATGTAATATGTATTAAACATAAAGAAAAAAGGCAGAAGACAGCAGTTAAGTCTTAAATGATAAATGTATTAAACTTCTACCTGTATCAGACACTGAGGCTGATGGACTAGGATCTGTTTGCAGCATCCATGTTGGAAGCACCCTTTTCCTCTTTTCAGCAGGCTGCGCTTCTTTTGTTTCAGAAAAGCTAGCAGAGAACTGAGAGACACATTGTATATTTCCTGTTAGGTGTCAACATATATTAGTCGCAACAAATATATTGCATTTCTTCCATTCTAAAGACACACTTTTTCCCTATATAAATATCTCTCAAATGGGATGCATCTGATAATCAATGGCATCTTGAAGGAATACCAGGATAACTGGGTTCAATATTAAAAATGCAATCCTGGTCTTAGACTGCAATCCCATAAGGATTTTCCTAGAGACATTTTCCTAGCTGCTTTGAGTCCCCTTTAGGGAGATAAAGCAGGATATAAACATAATAAACATAATAATAATAATAATAACAACAACAGATCACATCCTCAGCTGCTGCAAGAAAATCGCGCAGACAGACTACAAGCAGAGGCATAACACCATTGCTCAGATGATTAATTGGAACTTGGGTCACAAATACCATCTGCCTGCGACAAAGAACTGGTGGGATCACAAGCCGGAAAAAGTGACAGAGAATGAACACGTCAAGCTCCTCTGGGACTTTTGGATTCAGACAGACAGAGTTTTGGAGCACAATACTCCTGACCTCACGATCGTGTAAAAACAAAGTATGGATTGTCGATGTTGCAATCCCAGGTGACAGCAGGATTGAAGAGAAACAACTGGAAAAGCTGACACGATATGAGGATTTAAAGATCGAACTGCAAACACAAGCCAGTCAAGGTGGTCCCGGTGGTGATGGGCACACTGGGTGCAGTGCCTAAAGACCTTGGCCTGCACTTAAACACAAAAATCTGTGCTGACAAAATCACCATCGGCCAGCTGCAAAAGGCCACCTTACTGGGATCTGCATGCATTATTCGCTGATACATCACACAGTCCTAGACACTTGGGAAGTGTCCGTGTGATCCAATACAACAGCCAGCAGAGTGTCTGCTGTGGAGTCATCTTGTTGTGTTTCTAATAATAATAATAATAATAATAATAATAATAATAATAATAATAGGAAGAAGCTCCATTAATTCAAACGGGTCTGATCAGAATTGAACAGAATTGTACTGTAGACTTCACTCAGTCTTTCAGGTGAAGCTAAGATTTTTAAAAGAAAAAAAAAAACAAACCTTGCTTATCTTGATACAACAGAAGAATCACTACATTTCTGTAAATACAACCCTTCTAAAAGGGAAGCATCTCAATATAATACATGTTGAGAGCAGTTCTTATTGAGATATAGTCACTGCAGCATTGTCACAAAATTTCACCAACTTGGTCGTTATAAAAAACACAACTTATTGAGTATTTCTATGTACTTCAATAATGGCATATTACCTTCTTTGGGTTTTCAGCTGCTTTCTCCAATGATAAGTGTGTTTCCAGAAGCTGGTGTTTCTTGGAAGGAGTCGATTGCTGTCCTGGAGGTTGTTGGTGAAGCATCCTGCTTGGCTGAAGAACTGAGGAAGTTTGATTTGGTATGTCTTCTACAAGGAGGTGACAGTGCTTTCTATAACATAAGTAACACAGTTGAAAGATGTAGTTGGCCTAATCATAATAGATAATAGTAAAGCAAAATAAAAATGGAAACCAGGACATTTATTATACTTTCATAATATTCAGTTAACAAACACCAGGACCTCACCTCTGAGGAAGCTTGCCATAGATGCAGGCGAAACGTCAGGAGAAATGCCTCTAGAACATGGCCATATAGCCCGAAAAAACCCACAAGAACTGAGTTAACAAACTTCTACATATGTCCTGATATTCTCACTTTCCTCCCATGAGAAAACTTTCACCAGGGCCTGTTTTGATTTCCCCCCCAATTTCCATATGATTAGGCAGACAGGAACAGTGTAATAACTTCCATTATGTTGATAGAATAAATGCTTCTGCACTCACACATTGACAACAGTTCGCTACTGGCAAAATATTTTGCTGGTACAGGTTGAGCATCCCTTATCCAGAATTCCAGAATACGAAATGCCTCCAAATCCAAAATTGTCCACTTGGATGGATAATGACATCTTTGCTTTCTGATAGTTTAATGTGCACAAACTTTGCTTCACACCCCAAATTATTAAAAAATCTATATAAATAAAAATGTCATGTTCGTTTGTGGTATTCACAGAACTCAAAAACCACTGGACGAATTGACATCAAATTTGGACACAAAACACCTAACAACCCAATGTATGTCCTTCACTCAAAAAAATTTTGTCATTTTGTAGTTGCTGATTTATAGTTCACCTACAATCAAACATTCTGAACCCTACCAATGGAATTGAACCAAACTTGGCACACAGTTTTCCCGTGACCAACAGAAAATACTGGAAGGGTTTGGTGGGCAGTGTCCTTTGGTTTTGGAGTTGTAGTTCACCTACATCTAGAGTTCACTGTGGACTCAAACAATGATGGATCTGGACCAAACTCTACAAGAATACTCAATATGCCCAAATGTGAGCACTGGTGGAGTTTGGGGAAAATAGAATCTTGACATTTGGGAGTTGTAGTTGCTGGGATTTATAGTTCACCTACAATCAAAGAGCATTCTGAACCCCACCAACAATGGACTTGAACCAAACTTGGCACACAGTTCTCCCATGACCAAGAAAAATACTGGAAGGGTTTGGTGGGCAGTGTCCTTTGGTTTTGGAGTTGTAGTTCACCTACATCCAGAGAGCACTGTGGACTCAAACAATGATGGATCTGGACCAAACTCTACACGAATACTCAATATGCCCAAATGTGAACACTGGTGGAGTTTGGGGGAAATATAATCTTGACATTTGGGAGTTGTAGTTGCTGGGATTTATAGTTCACCTACAATCAAGAGCATTCTGAACTCCACCAATGATCCACTTGAACCAAACTTGGACACAGAACTCTCATGACCAACAGAAAATACTGGAAGGGTTTGGTGGGCAGGACTTGAGTTTTGGAGTTGTAGTTCACCTACATCCAGAGAGCACTGTGGACTCAACAATGATGGATCTGGACCAAACTCTACAAGAATACTCAATATGCCCAAATGTGAACACTGGTGGAGTTTGGGGAAAATAGATCTTGACATTTGGGAGTTGTAGTTGCTGGGATTTATAGTTCACCTACAATCACAGAGCATTCTGAACCCCACCAACTATAGAATTGGGCCAAACCTCCCACACAGAACCCCCATGTGGGCCACAGTAACGCATGGCAGGGGAATGTCTAGTATTATATAATATTACCTTCAGGCTGTGGGTATGTGGAGTAAATGAAACATTACTTTCATATTTAGATTTAAACCTCTTCTTCCAGATAGAAGGGCAGGCTAAAAATATTTGAAATTATAAATAATATAAATATGTGTATGCAAAAACAGATATTCAAAAATCTACCCAAATCCAAAATATTCCTTGGTCCATGCATTTTGAAAAAGGACTAATCAATCTGTATTTTTTTTTCAGGAAAATGGGCTCATAAATTAGTCAAAAACAGGAGAAAGAAAATATTTTGCCTTAGGTTTTTTTTTAATATCTGCCAATTTACTGGTCAGATCCACAAGGTCAAAGAAGTATGATTCTCAGCTATGTCAGCTTTAAAGAAACAGGGGCCCCTTCTACACTGCTATATAATTCAGCTCAAAACAGATAATCTGAATTTTATATGGCAGTGTAGAAGGGGCCAGTCTCCTTCTCTGAAGGTTTTTAAGCAGAGGCTGGATGGTCCATCTGTCTGAAATGCTTTGATTGTGTGTCAAAAGGGGGTTCGACTGGATGGCCATTGGGGTTTCTTTGAATTCCAAGATTCTATGAAATAGACAACGTAAAACTTCAGGTGCCTTAATGTACATGTTCTTTATCCAAGTCAAATCAGCTTTCCTATGACAGCACAAGCCTAGGCTATTCACAGTCTTGTTTATCATATATAATGTGTTTCCAACCACTGATACTAATATGCCTGAACATTAGGTGCACTATCACAATATTGCTTTTACTATAATTTTAGTAGATCTAAACCTATTCACGGAATGGAAAATTAATTCATATTACATTAAATGCACTCCATTTATTGTTTTCTAAACTGAAAGCAATGTTTATTTCATACCCACTTAACAGAGCCAACCATGCTAGCTCACTTCATTTATCAAAACACTAATAAAAAAGCAATTTCCTCAGTTCTCACAAACTACACTCTGACCTCATACATTACCACTCTGATCTGTAATTTTCACTATTTGTTTTCCAATCTTGAGGAAAAAATCATTTTTCAATCATTCCAAGATCATAGGGGTGAACAAGAAATTTATGGTATATTAACACCATAACTTTCCAAATTGCATCTTACATACATAAAACTTTTGCAACACCTTATCATTTTTAAGTGTCCCTAATTAAAACTCAATATGGCTGTACTAGATAACGTAAAATCTACTATATGACAATCAACATCACTGATGGGTTTCCACCTCAGGTATCATTACCTTTGAGTTTCCACTTCCAAAGGAGTGAAGAGAACCTTGAAGGCATATTTGTCTACCAACAGAGAAAAACTGTCACCAGGGCTGAGTTGGTGCCATTTATCAATGTCCAATGGCAAGATTTGGCCATTTTTAGTTGGCTGAAAAAAGCATGGGTTTACATGCACCTGTTAATGAAAAAAAGGACTGCTCTTAGTACAGATGATAGGTGAAAATAATCACAGTCATTCACAGCAATTATTGTACTAAATTCCCATTTTGTGCAATAATGGGGTAGGAGGAAAGGGGAGCTACAGATGAAACTACAGATGCAGGATATGAGGGTTGAATGAAAAGTAATGCCTCCACCTTCCTAACTCCTCAACAGATGGCAGTACT